AAATTATAAATTGGTTAAACAGAGCATTTACGAAAATGATTATACAAAACAAACACTATTTTACAACTTTCCTCTTAACATCACAGTCCAAATGCAATTTCAGGGCCACCAACCCCATTCTGAATTGCGAATTTCCTCCTGTGTTTGAAACGAGTGACAGATCCTCTTAATATTCCTCCAGAGTTTGTGACCTGGTCACGGAGCCATCCTTACCCTTAGAGGTAGGATCGTTGCAGTCAACTTCGGCCAGCATGGCAGCATTCTCTGGTCTGGGTGCTGAGAAAGAAGATTAGTGAAAAGCGTCATTGACAATGATGCAGTCTCGATAAACCCCAGATCCATGCAACTTCTGGAATTCTGTTGCATCATCATATATTCAGCTCGCCAGGTCAAGATTAGCCTTGTGTACACGAGGAACGTAAGAGAATGACTGTAAAGTGTTAAGGTAGCGTGCGTGCTTCAACACTTGTCAAATTTCTGATAATCAAATGTTCATATCGAACGTCACGTATCGAAATGTTTCACTTCCTTGTATCGCCTTGACATCTTCTTGTAATTATAATAATATTATTGTTATTATTGATTACGAAAAGCCAAATACAATTGTTTACCATCATCAAGAATCTTATAATTACCCAGCAAAATCTGCTCCACGTTTTGATTTAAATGACATATCAATGCAAATTAAAAAAAAGGTACCTCTGGTTAGTTATTAACACGCCTTCAGAGCCAAACCATATTGAATAACATCACTTGCGTTTTGTCATCTGTTAAAAAATAAATTGTTTTTCCAAAAATAAAAAAAAAAAAATCAATCGCGTCACAAAAAAAACACAGGGGGTCCATACATTTAATAATTAGAAGTGTTGTCGATCGATCAAATAAATTTTCTGATTTTTTTTAATTTTATATTTAGAAATGCCTAAAGAATTTAAAAAAAGAAATCGCCAGGGAGATGCTGTGGAAACAAGAAAGTAAGTATTGTTTATCGTGAGAATGGTGGTGGTGGTTATCGCCACCACTCGTCGCCACTCTAGTTATTTATAAATTTCGCTTTATTTACTTAGTATTAGCAAAAATGAGTCAGAACCTGAAGAAAAGCGTCTTGCAAAATTTCGTCCTAAATGTTCAGTGGTAAAACATTAATATTAAACCATAAATGTTTAAGCATGCTTAAATAATAATATTAAGATTATTAACAATATTCATGATTGTTATATATATAGAAAGCAAGAAAACAGATTGAATGTGCAATATCACAAAAAATGTTCTTGATTGATAGATCTGAAGTTGGTGAATTACATCATGTGTTTGTAATATCAGAATCTATTGAAAATGCAAATATCATAAAACATTATTATTTAATTATTTATAATTGATTAATTAATTGAATATTGATTCATCTATGATTATTTACTTAAATAAAAGGTTTATAATGTTGAGATTTCAATCCTTCCCAAATGTAATTGTCCTCCTGATTTTACAAAAGGTAAATTAAAAATTCCTTATTTTTTTTTTTAAAAAAGGACAATATTTCATTTTCTTTTGTTATTATTTATTTCCTCCACACTCTAAATACTAGGAGATCTTTGTAAACATGTCGTAAGTTAATAATAATATCATTATTCATTTCATTTTCTTCTTGTTCTCTCTACAATTATTATTCTCACTATTTCTTGATAAATATAAATAGTTTTTTGTCTATTTGAAGGTTCTTAGGGTCAGTCCTGATAGCAACTACATCTATCAAAAAGCATTATTAACCAGTGAGCTTAGACAAATTTTCCAAAATGCTGTTTCAAAACCAGCTGTCTTGGCAAGTAAATAAGTTTATCATTTATCCAATATTTTATTTAATACCACATTTGCTTGTGCTCATTCATTCATTTAATTATTGTTAGGCAAATCAGAGAGTTCATGATCAATATGCAAACATGAATAGCTCTAGCAGTAATTCTGCCAATAGTGCCAACAGTAATATAAGATCTCATCAACCAATTGAAGGTGATTGTCCTATCTGGTATGTTTACAATTATTGTTGTAGTGCTAATAACAATAAATATTTTGATTATGATACTTATAAAAGTCTATAATTAGTTATGATCCATTGTTGGAATCTGAAAAGCTTGTCTGGTGTAAAAATTATTGTGGAAATAGTGTTCATGAAGCTTGTTTTGATCAATGGAAAGCTTTAAAACATAGCAGTGGTGAGGTATGAATGAATGAATATTTATATAATTAAAATCAACAACATATATGAATACCAATGAATTATCAATTAATTGCTAATTGTTCTTTTAGATTACTTGTATTTATTGTCACAATAAATGTAATTTTCTTGGATCATTACCAATTGAGCTTTTGACTAAAATTTTTAAATACAATGAAGATGATCACAGAACATTATATTATTGCGTTCTTGTCAACAAACAGTGGTCCAATATTAATGTTTCAATTCTATGGAGAAATCCATTTTATTCTCTTGGTAGCATCAGAATATTAATTAACTGTATGTTGGAAGAAGATAAAGAATTCTTAACTAGTCGTGAAATTGAATTAACTTTTGAGCTATTGGATAAACCACCACTATATAATTATGCTAGATTTTGTACTGAACTTTGTTTTATTGATAGAGATGAATTAGACAAACTGTTAAAAACTCATGGATTGATTCGATTAGGAAGTAGATTAGTGAGATTTATTTTAGATCACTCAAAAATGATTAGAAAACTAAAACTTAATACTTCTAACATGGATTTTAATCAGATGATGAATAATCACCATAGATTTGATAACATCTTTCAGAATCTTAATAAATTAGTTTGTAATTTTGCCGACAGTTTTGAATTTATTGATAGATTAGCCAATCTTTGCAAGAATATTCAATCATTAAAGATTCAATACAGTTCATATGATGCTAAATTTGATTGTAGCCTGAATCAATTGATTAAGGCACAAAATCAAATAAAAAAATTAATAATTAATTCATATTATACCAATCAAGGGTTTTCAAATAATTTCAATACAGCAATATCAGAACATTCACAATCAATTGTTTATTACAAAAGTTTTGGAGAAAATAATATAGATCATATATTATTACCAGCATTTAAAAATTTAAAAACTTTATCACTATATGATAAACAATTAAAACATTTCAAAAATATTTCACTGGAAAATATTGAATCCATGAAATTAAAAATTCGTTATCGACCATTTCTTTTAGACTTATTGAGTTTTATTAACACAAATGGTAAAACTCTTAAGGATATAGATCTGGATGGTGTTCCAAATGATAGTGAATTTTTAGGAAAGCTGTTTCAATCAATTGCACAGCATTGTAAAATCCTAGAGGATTTATCAACATTTTATAAGAATGAATTTGACCAGGAATTAATGGAAATATTTAATAATTGTTTTAAATTAGAAAATATTAGAATTAAACCACTTCATAAAATAGAAGATAGATTAGATGGTGACAAAATTTTTTCAGTATTAAATCAAACTTTACCAAAAAAATTAAAATCAATAAGTTTACCTCATGGGACTATTAGCATTAATGATGATTCTTTTGATAATCTAATGAAGAATTGGAAAGGTCCCAAATCTTTTACAGTGAAATATTTTTTTTAGTTATAATTTTTTTTCTTTTTTTATAAATGCAAAATATTATAAATTATATAAGCAATACAAACAAATATTAAAAATACAATTGTTTGAATAATTAATAGCAGTAATAATAAATTTAAATTAATTTCATTATAATTGTTTGATCTTTTAAATGGTAACATAATATTGCAAATATCATTAAATGCATGATGTGAATCAATACTTTTGTCTGGATACTAGAACTAGTATCACTGGAAATTGCATCTTCATCAAGTCACATGTATTATCTGTTTCAATAGTAACTGAATGGGTTTCACTTATAACATTTACTGATTTGAACCCTGAAATTGTTAGTAATACCTAGGGGTATGGGGGGACAACTCAATGTTGCACATATAGATATTTGCCGATCTTCCAATTCCAAAACTGTCACCCCTTCAAAAATTAAAAATGTCATACGTTTCATAGTAAAAAGAGAACTTTACATAGAAAACTTTACACACAAGAGTTTTTGAACAGCCGATGCAAAAAAGTTAAGTTATTATT